TCAGGGTCTTGCAGAAGGCCTATAAGGACCTCTGTAGGTACCTATAGACTGTCATTTAAGTGTGATTTTTTATACGATGTAAGGAGTCCTAACGAAAGGCATAGAAGCTAGGCATAGATGTTGGATGCTCGTCTTCCCTAGTCAAACATATATCTTCTTCATTCTTAGGCTGGTAGTGGTTTTCTTTGGAGGCTATGAGTAATTCAATTGAGCTTTGGCACTCGCTTTATCCTGAACTTCTTTAAGATACGTCAGCCATGAATGAGTCATTATAACCGTACTATTCTCGAATCATGACTTACGAAATGACCTTTCTGTCCTAATCGCCCGTATGACATACGGCCGTGATATCTGACAACGATGAGGAACGCATCCGCAGCCCTCAGTGTGAATCGGGACCTGACCCGCGTTATGGATTTACAAGGTTTTCATACTGACTTCGGAAATACCTGGATTTCTTCCACAGACTTTGTCCTCCTCCAAGATCTTTTACCTATTTGTAAGTGGCTATTTTTTCGTCGGAGAAAGTGCTAGACTGTTCACTTGCGTCTCTTTCCAACTGTCTGGTTGTGCGCATTTTGAGCTATGGAGTGCATCATTCAAATCAGTACGGAATAGGACTGCTTGACCCTATCCACCCACCTCATACTTTCTACAGATGGAGCAGGTGAAAGATCGACCAATAGGCCAGTCTTGGCAGGTTTAAAGACGGCCACTCTTCGATCAGCTCCGGTTCAAAGGACGAGTCAGGCCCCGGGACCTGAGGTCGAGTTCACGAAACATGTCAAATTAGAGCGGCCAGAGTCTCGTGCCAGAAGGGACCTGGAGACTTAAATTTCGTGATTTCCCACTTCGAACACGATCGCGATCTCTTATGAAAGCCGCACTCCCGTCACACAGGACCGAGAAATGTCGAAACTAGGCGGGGCAAGAAGGTGAGGGGGACGGCCCCTTGCTCCGTTGAGAATAGGAGGCATTGCGTGGGAGGGGACTGTCTGCCACCGATGCGCCAGCTGATAAGCCGATGAAGAGGCTCTGTCGTACTGTATCCATCAAATCAAATAAACTAAATCATGACCCCATTTGGTTCGCCCATCTAATCCCAGAGGTCGATTTGATTTGATTTGAGTTGAGTTGACTCATTTGTCAAATGGCGTCAAATGCTAATAAGTAATGTTTTATTAAGAGGACTGTCAAGGATTCCCTTCTCACAAACGGAGTCCGCCAAGACCTTTATCTTTTCATCGAAATTTGGTTCATTTGCCAAGCATTTGATCTGAATTGACTCGATTTGCTTCAAATGGACACACTGCTCTGTCAAAGCGTCTGACCAAACGTCGCCTCTTTTGGTCACCCTCTCCTTCAGATGAGGAAACCGAGACTGGAGTCGAACTGGCCATCAGCAGCTACGCAGGTTCCAAACACCAACACTTTTCCATCCCTCGACCAATTCCTCCCGGCTCGACCGGGTGTTGAGAAAAGATACAAGCGACGACGGTACGATGAGTTTTGCAGGCGGCACGACCAGGTAGGCGCCTAGCATCTCGAATGGCGGTTATCTACGAGCAACAGGGTTGGGAAGGAAAAATAATCGTTGGTGAGAGGGATGCGAAGCAGGGCCGCGGAGGCCGCGCAAGTAAATACCTCATTTTCGATGGAAACCACATTGGGTGGATGGCAGTCCGTCTCACCACACCAGAGTTGCTGCAAAGGTGAGAGGGAGACGAAGGTGGCGTCGAAACACAGCTGTTATATTCACCTAAGTTCGGCTTAAAAAGATTGGCGCGATCGCCGGATGAAAAGAGCGAAAGGAGAGCAGCTAATACAGTTTCATCTACCTGGCGACAGAATGATACATTTGATTCAAAGCCCATAGATGAAGAACGTTAGAGCATACGCCATCATTCAGAGCTGATGCATTCTGAAAGATGCACGTATCAAGGACCGCCCAAACCGACGACACAAACACTTTCGGGTATGGCCACCATCTTCACTTGCAGTTTCAGAATACAACAGTCGTGTCAGACTGAAAGCTGCTTTCCATCGGAGATGCCAATACCGAGTTCTATATCAAGGTGCCTCCTTAGCTGCCGTGACATGATGAGCTTTTTGACCACTGGTCATACGTGAAGCTTGAACTTGAGTGTTTGCAGTGAGCTATTTGGGTACAAGAGAGTGACGGCTGGCGAGCTGATTGCGTCCGACGGAGGCTCATTCTTGGCTCGTTGTGTAGATTTGACACCCAGTCAGATCTATGAAAAGATCGAGTGACTCACCGCAGTGGTTGTCCACCCCTTCTACAATCGCAGTGAAAAGATTCTTTAGAGAGATTGATGGAACAATGTGGATAGATCAGAGCAGAGTATCTGGGCAAAGGTTGGTCAAGTATACGTAGTAGATGGCGTTGGAACGCTAAATCTCGTGGGAAATGGCCGCACACTCCCTTGGTCTTTAGTGAGAATCTTGAGCTTCTCTGGGCTTTTCTTTATAGGCTCACATGTATTGGCCAGTCCTATTTGCTACATTTGTTGTGAATCTCCATCGTGGTGAGGTTGTCGATGTGAAACATCCGTCATCTGGGCCGTAAGGTGTGTATTGGATTGTATTTTGGAACATGGCAGGTTGTAGAGTGCAAGCCCCCAGCTGCCTGGAAGTAATTTGGAGAACAAGGAGTACAACTATCCACAACCGCGTCCCAATCCTGGTTCATGCCCACGGGACTCCCTGCCCGGCCAAATTAGAAGGTTATATGACCGGTTAGTCATACTCGACTGGGCTATGGGTCACGAAGATCTGAAGATGGTCGTACAAAGGTTCAGAGGTGCTTTTGAGATGTCGAAGGCACCAATACAAAGAATCACAGGTCACTGTAATCGATCCTAGTTTCCGAACAGTCCTCATCAAGCTCCATAGCCTTCTGGACCCGGCAAAAGTGGCGAACAACAGCTCTGTTCCACTCTTCTTTCTTCCCAAAGCTGTTTCTGCTGTGCTATGTCGAATAAAAATTTGATCGATATCTTGCGACATAATAATGACCAAAAAGGGCGGTGGCAGTGGCGCATCAGCTGGGTCGAGTGGATGATCCTTTCTGTCAATTGGAAAACTTTTCCGTATGCACCGACATTCTAATCTTCGTTAGCTCTGTCCTCGCCGCCAGCAAGCAGAACCACCCCAAGAGATGGCTGAAATCGCTTAGAAACTCGCCGGCGCTTTTCAGGGATGATGAATCCGGGCAGCAGGATCATAGGATGGACACCAGTCGTGCAGGCCTGGCATAAGACTGGAATTATGAACATAATGAAGTGCTCGTTAACGTAAAAGGCCGGAGATTCTGCAGAAACCTCACTGGCTGATCTACTCTCATGCCCTCGAACATGTAGAATGGCGAATTTGAAGGTAAATACGTTTGTAGAATAAGGGATGTGGACGGCTTCATAGTGGTTCTTTTTTTGCTTGCTGGGACAAGCTCGTGGGTCGGGAAGTGGGAAATGCGGAATTGCGTTGATCTCAACAACTCAAAGCATCATAAAAGATAAGCGAATGGTGAGATGGGGTTGCGATTGTGCTTTTTGCATGTTTATCTTTTCATCTCCAGTCATTCCCCGGAATTTCAATAAGCGGAAAATTGAAACAAGGGGGAGAGAAGAAAATTTTTGTTATTGCTGGCCTGCTGTCTTGTATTCTCCCTTTTTCCTTTCGCTTCCTTTGCCTCTTTCCTTCACTGCATGCATCTGATTTCATTCCATACTCTAGCCGTGATGTGGAATGCCCTCCGCTTGTGGAAGTGTGTGATGTAGTGCTGGTAATAGCTTGAAGATGGCCCCCCATCAGCTATGGCACTTTCATCATCGCCCTCAGACCTAGGTGTGGTCGATTGAGCACTTTGAAAGGTGATTCTCTCAAAGTCCAGAGACACGTCCCTGATCAACGTGTGCTTTTGCTTCCTCATCTTCCTTTCTATTCATATCTGGTTCTTTTGCCCATGTCCATGCTTGTTATGCAGGTCGTGCTGCAGGTTGGTTTGGCTTGACATTGTGACGCGCTGCTGGTGTGGCAAAAGGTGGTAATGTGGGCAAAAGGGTATGGAGTGACAGGACTGTGAGTAAGACCAGTGAGGAAGTAGTTGGTACTAGCGAAGCATATCTAGGAAGGTTAAAGTTATGGACTGGTCATCTTGCTGATGTTGTCTTTGGGAGGTGGATGATCTATTGAAAATGTGACTGTCATCTTCTCTTATTGATCCGATATTTGGAAGAACGTGCATGAGACTGATGGGAGGTTCTTGCCCGGCGTGAAGGGTGGGGTAGTTCCATTCTGAAAGCGTCGTAGGTTGGGGATGTTGTGGTAGAAGAGCATCTACTCATGCGGCCATCACTTGCAAGTTCATAGAACAGCGTTGCGGTGGAAGACGCCTTGGAGCGGGTGGTTCTGATAGTTAATGGAGTTAGCCAATGGAAGATGTTGATTTGAGCATCGATATTAGGGACCTACCGATATGAAACTATAATTGCATTTGGACGATGTCGTCTCCTGTGGGCGATTGATTGGGACTGTGCTGGGGTGGGAAGAGGAGACGTTGCTTCATCTCGTCCATCCATCTCGGCATCAGATATAGTCGTATATGGTCCTTGAGATGCATCGAGGTGGTTGAAACTGCCTCCATCTCTTGAAATGTCTGTTCCTGATGGTAGTGGCGCCGCGAAATCTGACCCCCCGTCGCTCTCTTTGGGTGTCAATGGCGGGCTCAGTGGTGCTAGATATTTGTCGTCGAGGTCGGAGTCTGATTCGTACGATGCCAACACGGCCGATGCCTCTTCCAACGACATTTGAGGACCGATTTTACCTCCAGCAGCAAGCACGGCTTCGCGGTACTCATCGGCCTTTCTGTGTACGCGGTCAAGATACTCCTGGGAATATCCGAGCACACACCAAAATGCGTCTTCTGCCTCTCTGGTTCCTTCCATGGTTGGTGATAGGTTGAGTATTGTGGCGACTGATGAGGATTTATGGTGATGTTTGAAGACAGGCGTTGAGACAAAGAGAGCCAAAGTGGGTGGTGGGGGTATTGATACCGTATCTGCTGAGATTCAACCTACGTGACCTCCGCTTTGGTTAGCCTTCCCTTCTTCTTATGGCTTCGATAATAGTGATGCCCAAAAGCCACCTTCGACATTATTTGACCAACTTGGGGCCTGAAAGTTGCAATAGTAACCATAAGCAGCGTTCTCCTAGGATTTTGACCGGTAATCGAAGTCGCTAGGTAGGCCTATCTGATCTGGTAAATTACAGTATCTAAGGGACTCTGTAAGATACGCTAGAACCGATTCTTACTGGATGCCAAGGTGGACGCCGCTTGTTCAGCCATTTAGAGAGCAGTGCTGCCCCAGAGACCAGCCTCACCAGCATGACTGCATTTGGGTAGAGTTTGCCACCTTGTTTACGTGTACGGAGTACAGATCACCATCGAAAGATGCCTTCTGGAAGCGAACTTTCTGTAAAATAAAAGAGGATCAAAAGATGCTATATCACGTGTGGTGAAGAGGCATTGTGTATGCGATCGATTACACTAAGTCAGATTCGACCTGTGGTAATTTTACCGTGACTATTGGATACAATTATTTGCATATTCCTCCTTCGGTTGTTGCTTACGAATCAAAGTCGAACACAGCCAAACGGAGGAAAAACTGTCAAGATGACGTCCTCTTTCAACGGGGACTTTGCCAGGCTTGTACCTCGCAACCGTGCTTCCCAGGTCTTGTTCTCCGAGACCATTGCCTATGTGGACAAGAACGACACCTTCCATTTACGATTTATGGAACGCGCACTCGCCGAAGCCTACCACGCATCGAGCGAGTCTCCAGAGGACACTACTGACTACGACAGCCCCCATGATGCCATCGATAGAGATCTCCAGCTGAAAGACATACCAAACTCTGGCTACTATGTCTTCTCATTCGACAAAAAGCGTGCCCCAGAGATGCCTCATATCGGATGGAGAGTGGGTCGAGGAACCAGCAAAGTCCCTATGAACCGTGGCGTTGACCTCCTTCTTGCCAAACCTGGCCATCCCTGGGGCAAAAAGATAGCAAGCGTGCATCTGCTATTCCGCTTTAATCTTAGATCAGGCTTTCTTGTGATGAGCGCACAAAGCCAAAAAACCTTAGTAGAAGTCAAAGTCGGCACTACGTGGGAGAGGCTGGCGTACAAAGGGGAACGCTTGATTCATCAGCCTACTGTGTTAGTACGAGCTGGGGTCTGCGAATATGAATTAGAATACACGGTTGAGGAGAAGCATAGGGAAGCCTATTTCGAAGAGAGAATGGTTTTCCTTGAATCGATACAACCTAACAAAGATGCTAGAGCTGGGAACTTCCGAAAACTCCCTGGCGACAGTTGCGTGCTAAAGGGTCGATACCTTGAATTCGAAACCAAGGGATATGGAACATTTGGCTGGGTAAGTCAAGGGCTAGATACTAGAAATGGTGATCCAGTCGCCATCAAAGAACTGCGCCTCAAGAGCCGATCAAATCGTGATGAAGCCTTACTCGAAGTGAAAATGGGAAAAGACTTTCTTGTAAGTTGACTCCAGAAGCGTTCATCAAAGTAACTAATGTGTTACAGAATAAGCGTGGACTCCTTCCTATCTTGGACGCGTGGTGCGAACACGGCAATTCTGAAGGCTGTGGCAGTCCAGAGCGATACTACATTGTCATGCCGCACGCACTTACTGATCTGTCAACCAATTTCTGGACCAGCCTTAGGATTTCGCAGGTAGATAAGCTGCGTTGGCTGAGGGACCTTCTGGAAGGTCTGGCCACATTGCATATGATGGGAATTATACATCGCGACATTCGGCCCCAAAACATGCTGATAATGTCCAACTCACCCCCAAGGGCTTCGATCTGTGACTTTGGCAAGGCAATCAAAGCACAAACGTCCAACTTCACAGCAATCGGTCCCATCTCGACTTGCGCGCCTGAAGTATGGAGGGTCCTTAATTTCGGACCCTATACTAATAAAATTGATACTTGGGCTTTTGGGTATGCTATAGCTGATATATTGGGCTATTCTGTGGAAAAGTATCCTGGGGCCGACGGTCTCAAGGAGGCTAATCCTAAAATCACGCGGAACCGCCACGCCGCGATGGTTCAGATGCTTCTGGACCATTCTGAGAAGCGTCCTGAAGACGCAGCTCTGGTTGATCTTGCGTTGAAGCTGCTGGTCTGGGACTCGAAGCTCCGCTGGTCCGCGAAGCAGGCCCTGAGCCATAAATGTTGGGCCCCAATCTTGCGAGAAATTGGAGGGGATAGAGACAGCAGGGAGGCCGCCACAGAGGAATATCAGCCCCAGGCCAAAAGAGTCCATGTGATAGCTTCGGAGGGTAAGTTCATCACGTGAAACGGCGACTCCATACTCTACGAAAGCGCTGATACAATTGCAGCAGACCCGCCCGCACCTTTGCACGAGACGGTGCCCACCCAGGAGGCTTCGGAAGAGACCAAAGCTATGATAGCGAGGCTATACCCGAAAAAGAAAGGATGATGTCCCCCAGAGTTGCATTCCTTCGCGACAAACGTCAGATTCGCACATACCCATCATAATGATAATGATTCCAGAATATAAACGTGGGGGGGCCGTCATCCACATGACGTCCGGGAAGAGTATACGCCGCAACAAGCGACTTCGAAGGATATGAGAGACGGCCCTAACCTTTGAAAGAAGTGCTTGCATTAGCGCCTGTCATACTTTGGAGGACACCCACTCTCCGATTCAGTATACCCAGAATGGAGGCACCCCTGATCGATAGCAAAGGCTGGAAATCGCAATAATGGATGAAGCCACCCCACAGGCAAATATATTGTAGACTAGGTCGTCCTGTGCAAAATACTGTCGAAATTTATTCTCCACATGGTTCCGCATCTTGTTGAGCTTGCTATACTCGAAAGTCCTTTCCGCGTAGGACTTAGATTTCGTTCCTGAGACGGCAGATACACTGCTTCTGCTTCTCTTCAATGGGGATAATGGTTGCCTGCTTGGGTGCCGGGATGTCGTCCGCCCCTTTGAATCCTAGTTTCAAGGCACAACTACCTTGACGTAGGCTGTTTTGTCGGTCCTGCAGATGGATTCAGGCTCTGATGCACGCCAGCCGTCAATCCATCAAAGGTCCGCACATGAGTCGTGGCTCGTTCGCCAACCTGGTGGGAAAGGATGGCGTTACTGTATGTGTTCTCTTTAACAGTCCTTCTAGATATTAGGTGACGTTGTGACCAGCTCCCCGAATGGCTTGCCAATAAGATCATATTGGGCACGCAGAAAAGGTAGTTGATGATCAGACAGACGCATGGTGTATTGCGAAGACGACTCGTCCAGTTGGTCAAACCGTGCCGCCTCAAAATCCCAATTATAACACTGATTTTGAACTGGCAGAGTACTTTGAAGGCGAGACTTTTACGAATTCAAAAGAGGAGCGGTGGGGGGATTCATCAATGCTGAGCACTCCGAGAAGAATTAGAAAAGCTTCCTGGGCCACCAGTTAACGGTGCCACTGTTGATTTTATCGAGCATCACTTAGTGATGGACCATTCGAAGCTGCTAACCGCAATGGCTGCTCTGGGGCACTATTGGCTGGCGGATGTAAATTGAGCTTGTTTAGGTGCCCGGCAGAAAGGTAACCATTTTGTAGTATGATTACAGATGTAGTTCGGGAAGCTGTGGAAGAACTGTTCCACACATGTTAGGCGTTAAGCAATATCTGTTAGGATGGGAACACTTCACAAAGACTCCAACACCACACCCCATCGGGTGTACCTATATAGGTAGGGAGCAAGTGATGAATAAAGTACATCTAGGTTAGGGCAACGACGTTCAATCACCGAGACAAGACATAAGAAGAAATACCTTATTGCCTGTTACTTAAATAACACCAAACTTCCCTGCGCACCCCCAACTCGCCTCCCACCTAAACCAAGACCGCATATCTATGAAATTAAATTAGTTATAGAATTAGACATAAAACCAAGTATAAAAATAAATAAAAGCACACGAAAAGCAAGTGAAAGGCAGATTAAGAGTAACAATACGACCAGAAGCAATAAGAGATCCTATCAGTAACGCCAGAAAGGGTAGGAACGTAAAACTACAGAGGATCCACAGGCATACCCAAGAGGTTGTATTATGAAAAAACTCAGCTAGAAAGCAATCTTGGAGCTGGGTTTTATTCTAGTAACAGGAATGCAAACTCGCCAAGGTTACTAGCTCACTGGCTCAGCTCGGTTCCAAAGATCGTCCCGCAAACTTACCTGCATGATGCGTCTATAGCGGTCTCAATCCCTAGCCTAGTCGTACCGGTTTCTCCACCTACCACAAGCTCGATCTTGTAGCAGCAGCATTGGTCATGATGTTTTCCATGAAAACAGGTGAGAAAGAAATTCACACAGGGTATCTCAATAGCTCAGCTTGTGCCGAATGGCCAGATTCGACTCCTAGATTGGTTGCACACAAGAAACTTTGATAAAATGCTTTGGACGACATTCAAGTGATTGGAATGCAACCTGCAACGCGAGCAACTTGCAGTGCATGCCCAGCTGTGACTCTGTCTACAGTCTTGGTCAAGGTTCACGGCAGACTTTCTGAAGTCTCGTATTCCGATTTTGAGGCAGCAAAGCGTTGGTCTACGGATGCAAAGGTGGCTGGCATCATGAAGCGAATGAATAAGCAGGTAGTGTTCTCAACGGCAGAAGTCCATCCAGACTTTATGACATTGGATCCAACAGACATCTACGCTTGATGGTTTCACTCGTTGTGCTATCAGTCTTCACAAACAAATTCTGCGACTTATATTTGTTTAATGACTCATGAAAAGACACTGTTTAAACAAGAACTACTGTTGAATTCTGAAAGGGCCTATTGCCAGGTTTTATGTGGGTAATCCCTGCGTATCGTCTACGTTTAGTTAGTCAGGTTTCACTGCAATTTCGCTTCTCATTTCGTTGTACAGCTCAGCCAATTGTACATGGATCTACGCTCTCTACCCCCCTAGCTATCGAACAACTTGCTTTTCTACGCACTTTGCATAGCAGTTTCACAACTACATATATTGGTATGTTGTGACCCTTCGTCCTTCTTTGATACTGGTCCGATCCTCGTCCAGTGACAATATGAAATCCCATCATATACGCAAGCTAGCATTTGCACATATCTCCACGTCTCAACGCAATGCACCAAGGGCTAACATGTCACGACCCTTGCCGGAAAATGACCTTGCACTATGCATCACCGCAGCCAATAATCACAGCTCGATGTGCTAAGATCTGATCTTGTCTATGATCATTACGTGAAAAGTGCCTACAAAAATGCATATTCCCCGCTCGTGCCTCTCAAGGCAAAATGTTCTCATACAAATGCGTCTCAATCAGCCATGCTGCAGAATACGGTTTTTGCTGCAGTACGAGGGATCTTTTGATCATATCTTAATTGAGAAAGAAGTGCATCCTACCCACCACTTCGTCCCATACCGCAACTTCTTACCCACTGATGAAGTTATTTTTCTGGGTCGGAACCGGAAGCTTTGTTAGTTTTGGGCTAGTAGCAATGCTATAAAGTTCCGCTCTTCTTCACCCTCTGCGTCTTGTCAACCAAGCACTATCAGCTCAACTCCGATACTCAATAACCGCCTTAAATACCCGGTAACCTCAATATGAAGCTTCAAGTGCCTTACTTCTTTATTCTAGCCTCTTTGGCTGCTGCATCCCCTCTGGTTGATGTCCATATCACAACCAAGGCATCTGCTGCCAAAGCTGACGTACAAGCCAACGACGTCTGTCTGCGGGTTTGCTGGGCCGAAATCCCAACATGCCCCGATGGCTGGGTGTGTTGTCCCTTTCGTCCATGATGTGATTTCAAAAATCCTCTTCCCAACACAGTGGCCCCAGTATAAGGAAACAAGCTAACAGCTTTGTTTAGTACTCTAACAACTTAGGGGTGAGGAAGCCGCATGCCGCGTCTTTAGCTCCTGGGGTACTGGTGTCGCTGACAGTTTTGAATATCCAGACTGCTAACCAGCCTTGCTGGACTTGCTGCAAGGCTCCGTCGGATGCGACCGAGTGCAAGGGTGCAGAGAAAGGATTCAATGTGCAAATGGACGGTATGTTAAACGAAATAGCTTCCATGGGGAGAGATTCTCTCTAGCATAACTAAATATCTTGTTCTTACAGAGATGTAAATCTCTGCCAGTCTGGCAAGGTGTATGGCAGTCTCCCTTTGAGAACAGTCTGGTTCAGAATGGGTGGTCATGCTGTGCGTTCCATAAGTGTTGCGAATTCATGGCGCCTCAAAATCTGCTGCAGTAGCTCAATGCACAAATACAACAGCTTTTACGACTTACGTAGATACAAAGACTATGTAAGTTCTGCAGCAAAATATAATTGAGCTTTGTCAGATTCTTTTGATATGTATTTTAGCCATATAAGACTCTTTTTAATGAAGTTAATAATCTATATACAAAATGATATAAGTATACGCCCCTGATGAGCTTGCATCAGGCATCTGCTGCGTAGGGCAGATGGGACAAGAGCTTCTACCTTCTCGTGGTGTCCGGTGTGAGTACTCCTGCTGCGGCAGGAGGAAACCAAAGAAAGCTCACACTCTCAAGGGCGAGTGGTTGCTCAAGATCGCGTTGGTTGGCGACCGGTTGCGAGCAGCGAAGACCCATCGACAAATCCGTTCAAATGAAAGAAAGATCTGATCTACGACAAGATGATACGAGTACTCTTCTCCTGTTGCGACTAGCACCGACCAGTGGGTGCTGGCAGCGTACGGTTCCTTAATCTATAGTAGCCATACGAAATTGAAGAAATGTGAGCCCTGCTATCTTTAGCGAGAAGAATGTGATAATTAATGAAATGTGAGCCTTGATGGCTTTGGCAGAAAGTACAGCTGTGCAGAAGGAACTACTTAGAATAGGAATGGGGGCCCTATTCTATGACCGCAAGAGCGGGTTCTGGTAGGAGATGCTGCCTCTCCTCTACACACTCTCTTTTACCAGCTAGAAAGTGCATCTGCAATAGTCCACCGATTCAGCAATCAGATTCTCCTACTTGCTATAAAGAAAGCTGCGCAATAGTCCACCGATTCAAGTTCGTACGAGAGACCCTCAATCACAAACCATCCCTTAGAAGCACACTCAGTTACGAAGAGATCCAACGGATACAGGGAGCATAGTTGGGCAAGAGAAGGGAAGCACACAGACGCAGATGGTTGCGGCGGCGTAAGAATATCTTAGGGAGCAAAGGGAAGGAGAAGGGAGATCTATCGGACAAAAGTCTGACCTGTGGCACTGGATTTGCGACCCAGTGTGGGGAGTCGGTGAGCTACGATCTCCTGCGGAGAGTTGCTAAGGGCCTTGCCTTCTCAACTCGATGCCCTTCCTGGAGCGGCAGGATATGGCCTCACGTGCTGGGGACCACCAACTACAGCAGAGAAGAATCTTTCATTTCACAGATCAAAGCAAAACAGCGCGAAGAAGGGCGAGGGGTTACGAAGGG